GCGCGTTGTCTTTGATGCATCTAGTCCCACAGACAGTGGGTACTCTCTCAATGATATCCAGATGGTGGGACCCACTATTCAACCTGATCTTATTTCCACACTGATCCGTTTTAAAAAGTATAATTTTGTTGTCGCTGGAGATATCGAGAAAATGTATAGGATGTGTCTTATCAACCCCGAACAAAGGCCATTACAACGCATTTTATGGCGTGAGCACCCTGACAATCCTATAGAAATTTATGAGCTAGCCACAGTAACTTACGGTACCTCCTCGGCATCCTATTTGGCCATACGATGTCTCTATCAAGTAGGCTTAGACTGTTCTGACCCTGAAATCTCTACGATAATTAAAGATCATTTTTATGTTGATGATTTTTTGAGCGGAAGTGATTCAGTGGAAGAAACTACTGCTATTGCTAACAATGTTTCTCAGACGTTAAAAAAGAGTGGTTTTATATTGAGAAAATGGGTTTCCAATTCACTCCAAGTTCTAGCAGGCATTCAAACCCAAGATAGTGTTTCTATGGTAGATTTCGGTGTTTACGAGAGCACAAAAACTCTTGGTTTAATTTGGGGCGCACAGTCTGACTCTTTGACTTATAACATTGCTTCATCATTCAGCAAACAAGTTACCAAACGAACCATTCTATCCGAAACGTCGCAAATCTTTGATCCTCTCGGCCTTTTAAGTCCCTCCATTATTCTAGCGAAAATCCTATTACAAGACTTATGGTCTGAAAATCTTTCTTGGGATCAAGGTCTCCCAACTTCTTTGCATACCCGGTGGCTTAAGTTTCGTAACGAATTATGCTTTTTTAACGATTTGGAAATTGAACGCCAGGTAACCTGTAAAGATTATATCAGCGCAGAACTTCACGGGTTTTCAGACGCTAGCATTCAAGCTTTCGGTGCAATTGTTTACTTGCGAACTCAAGATTCCGATGGTAGGATCAAAGTTTCCTTAGTATGCTCAAAATCCAAGGTCGCGCCAGCTAAGACGCAACCTATTCCCAAATTAGAACTTATGGGCGCATTGTTACTCACTCAACTCATGGAAAAGGTGAAATCGTCTTTAAGCATACGCATAGATCGCATTATTCTTTGGTGTGACTCCACAACAGTATTGGGTTGGATTAAGACCACACCTAACCTTCTACTGACATTTGTTGCAAACCGTGTAGCTAGGATTCAGGAGTCAACCGATAATGCCGATTGGCGTCACGTGCCCACTTCTACTAACCCTTGCGATCACGTTTCCAGGGGTGTTATGCCTGGCGTTTTATGTTCACTCGAAATATATTGGAAAGGGCCACCTTGGTTATCTGAAAATGAATCCTCTTGGCCTGTTTTGCCATATCCTGCTGAGACAGAACTACCGGAAATGCGCAAAACTGTTCGCGCGTGTGTGCAAACTGCCGATTATTCAGAATTTGAAAAATATTCCGATTTAGATAGATTAGAAAGAGTCGTGGCATATTGCTTTCGTTTTAAAGAAAACTGCCTCAAAAATAAAGAGAAGAGATATTGCGGTCCTTTACTTTGTAAAGAAGTATTAAAGGCATCCCTCACTCTAGCTAAACTATCTCAACTAGATTCCTTTGGAAGGGAAATACAGGCTCTTTTAGAAGAAAGCGATTTAGATAACACTCAAATTGCCAAGCTGTCTCCATTTCTTGACGAGAATAATATTATGAGAGTGGGTGGTAGAATTGAGCTCTCAAATTTTCCCTACTCAAAAAAGCATCCAATTTTATTATCGGCTAAACATTATTTTACTAAGCTTCTATTTGAAAGAGAGCATGTGCGACTGCTCCATGCCGGTCCACAACAACTACTTTTTTCAATACGCGAGAGTTTTTGGCCAATATCTGCACGAAATTTAGCAAAACATACTGTTTTTAAATGCGTTCAATGTTTCAGGGTTAAACCTCGATTTTTTGCACCAATTATGGGAAATTTACCCAAAAATCGACTTAATCCTGCTCCACCATTTTTCACAACCGGCGTTGACTATGCCGGCCCATTTCATGTTAAAGATAGAAAGGGAAGGGGTTGTAAGATCACAAAGGCTTATATTTCTCTTTTTATTTGCTTTGTGACTCGAGCTATCCACCTCGAACTAGTGTCAGATCTCACAAAAGATTCTTTCATTGCCGCACTAAGGAGATTTATTGCACGACGCGGTAAACCTAATATGATGTACTCTGATAATGGAACAAATTTTATCGGCGCCAATTCAGAGTTAAGAGCTTTGGGTGAATTTCTTCAATCTAATGCCAAAACCTTGACAGAGGTCATTGAAAATAAAGGCATAACCTGGTCCTTCATACCTGCCCACTCTCCCCACTTTGGCGGATTGTGGGAAGCGGGCGTCAAGTCCACAAAGCACCACCTAAAGCGCGTAGCAGGAAACGCAACTCTTACTTTCGAACAGTTTAGTACTCTGTTGACTCAGATCGAGGCTGTGTTAAACTCAAGACCAATATCTCCATTGTCCACTGACCCATCCGAATTGTCCCCTCTTACACCCTCACATTTTCTCATTGGACGGGCAATTACATCCGCAATCGATCCTGATCTAACAAGCATTCCTACAAATCGTCTAGACTATTTCCAGCAAATCCAACAGCTGCAGCAAAACTTTTGGACGCGATGGTCCCGTGAGTACATCTCCGAGCTGCAGCAGCGACAAAAATGGTTGAAATCAACTTACACTCTCAAGGTGGACGATCTAGTCCTCATCAAAGAGGAACATCAGCCTCCTTTAAAATGGTGTCTTGGGCGAGTTCTAATATTGCATCCTGGTGCTGATGGAGTCGCGCGAGTGGCGACGCTGAAAACTTCAAGTGGAACACTCAAGCGCTCGTTTTCTAAATTGTGCCCGTTGCCGATAAACTCTGTTTTGTGAATTGTAATTCGATTCGGTGTGGAGTGTGGAGGCGTAAACAGCTAAGACATGACGCGGTTATCAGCGAGTGCAGTTTTTCTTGATATTAAGAAAATCTAATGAACATTTTGGAACTTACTTTGATTTTTTATTCATTTAAATATTTGAGAAATTATTATTACTTATACATTTTTTTTTTTTTTTTTTTTTTACTATTATTTTTCCATGTTTATATTTTGATTTTGCATAATGGATATATTATGTTTAGGTTTAGATTTATTGAAAGTATTTTATATCCTGTGAGCTAGGTACTTTCAAAGCCGGGGGAAATGTATTGTTTTCAAAATATTGTATTCCGTATATATTAGGTAATAGTACTAAACGTGGCAACATTGTATAACCAGTGCGAATGAAGGGTCCAACTTAGGCTGTCGGGAGAGCTCCTAGATCGATAACACAGATAACATGCACGGTCACTTTAGTACCTACCTACGCAATTGTTTAGTTTATTACTTGTTCTTCTAAATATAGTCATTGAAAATCACTAGTAGTGTTTTAATTTAGTCAAGTAATACGCGTAAGAAGTGCCACCAGCAAAATGCAGTCAAATCACTAGCAAAATCGTACAATATTTGTTCTTTAATTAAAATTGAAAAATGTTAAATTCTTCAGATATTAGTTTTCTAGTGTGGTAAGTTCGTTTTTGTAAACATAGAGAGCTGATATTTTTGCGATGTACCGTCATTTGGGGTGAAGTCGGACTGTGGGGGTGAACTCGGACAGACAGGTATTGGTCGGCGTTTTTTACGATATCGGGTATTCAGACGCCCAAAAAATCCACCAACCGGCATATTCCGCTTAGTTTGGCTCGAGTGTCGTTGAGAGTGGTGCATTTTTGCTGGATAAATTCGCCGTAGAGCACGTGGTCAGAATTTTATAAATTTTATTGTTTTCTTAAAATTTGAAAACCAAAAAAGAAACTGTTGGGCACAAGGGAATACTGAAACTATGTACTTCAAATGAGCTATTATTTGTTATGTGCTCTATTATTAGTAAGCCCATGGCAATTTGGTGAAAAAATATATTTTTTTTTGTTAAATAATGGTGTTTTAGTGAAAAAAGTCATTTTATAGGGGGGAAGTCGGACACTATGATTAGGTGCTATAAGAAGAAAATCGGCATTAATTTCAAAAATTACAATGAAGAAAACGTCGCTAGAGCACTCGAAAATATTAGACGAGGCAGAAAAAGTATGACAAGCTGATGAGTATTATGGGGTTCCCAAATCCACCTTACATGACAAGAGAAAGGGAATAAAAACGAAGAATCATGGGGGACAACCCGTTTGCATTTTTTTAAACCTAAAATTTATAATATTTTGCTACATATATTATTTTTCTTTATTTTTTCTGTCCGACTGCACCCCGTACTAGGGGCTAAGACACTTTGTAATGCTTAATAAATGGTGGTCCGCCTTTACCCCACACATAGGGGTGAAGGCGGACACACAACTTACCTAAAAAAAAGGGGGGGGGGACACAAATGTCATTGCTTTTAGTATGTAATTTGACAAAGGAGACATGGAAGATTCTTAATTATTTTTTTGGGATTTTTTTTCTTTATATTGTAGATTTTATTAACAAAAAACTGCAAAAATCGTCCGACTTCACCCCAAATGAGTCAAATGACGGCACAATTTTAAGTTTAATTTGTAAATCGAGGAGGAGTGTTAGGATAAGTATTCGTTTAGCCACGCCTGCTCTAGTAGTATCAATAGTCACAACCATATCTGTCAGATGTTAGTAACGTCAACAAAGTGAGGTTATCGATATAGCAATGTTGTTGTAATCTTCATGGTAGAATGTTTTGTTATTAATAAAATCTTTAGTTTATTTCTAATAGTAAAACTTTATTCTGGCTTTATTCCACAAAATAACTCTAACATCAGTAGAATTTACATTGATATCAGTATATCAGCAGACCAGTGGCTAAATCAGTAGATCTACTGATAAATCAGTAGACTTGGCAACACTGACTTGAAGTCCTTTTTTTACCCCCATCTGGAACTAGGATAATAATACAATAAAACAATATAAAATATAGTGTATATTAGCCTACAAAAATTGATCCCTAAAAAAAAAATATACATAATAGTCTATCCTAATCACTATTTATAAGGCAACGTCAAATCGATTTTAAATTGCTCATCCGTTCTTCTACCCCTCAAACCGTACATAAAAATAGACGGTTTTGGTCCATTCGACCCCGCATTTTTGCGAGTCTGCGTCCAAACTTGTTTTTCAGTCGAATAAGTTTGATTTCCAATGTTAGTTTTGCTGGTGGTTTTATTAGATTGACAGGCCTTGGTTCGACTATGAGACAAAGCAGCCGTGGTCAAGGCGAGTCGTTTCAAATCCCACACGTTCCAGTGGTATTTCAAGTCGATGTTCGATTTGACGATGTGGTCTTCGGTTTGGGTTCCTATGTCTTTGTAAGCTCTAAGGTCAGCTTTGGCCTCGATAAGACTAAAATTATTAAGTAGTTTAGAAATATTTTTTGTGGGTATACTACTCACTTACTTTTTGATATGATAGACTTTTTCCAGATTTTTTGTCAAATGGAGGAGATTGATGAATTGTGGTTGTTTTCTGGCCAGCTCCAGAACACTATTTATGCACCTTCAAAGTAAATTATTAGACTTATGAATTAAATAATGTATGCAAATATTCACAAATGTGGATTTTTATCAAATTCTTGAAAAGCTTCGGGACAAGTAAACGCATAATATTTATTATGAAATTCTGCTACTCCCATAGAAGGGTCTCCCGGAATTAGAGCTCCGTCTGTTTGCATCAGTGTCCAAGGACAAAAACCAAGATACTCGAGTTCGACATTTTCCAATTCATTCCATTCTTCGTACTTGATTATAGTGATATATGATCTACGAATTTTAGAACGTAAGCAGAAATTATTACTTTCAGCTTCATTGTAATTCTTAATAGGGGCAATTTTTAAGTATTGATATCCCGTTTGTATGGCATAAGTTTGCAAATTTGTCATCATAGTAATTATTCTTTTCAATAGTAGAGCCTTGTTTTGGAACTTTTCCCACATTGACCATAATTTCTTAAAAATTGGCTAAAAGATTAAGATATAGTTTTGTAGAGTCTATCCAGACTACTTACATAAACTATCTCTGCCGGTATGGCAACTTTCTTATGAATAGAAGAATGAGCGAGTGTCAATAATTCCTTCATTTCACTGTAAAATTTTTCAAGTTCCTCCTCGATCTCCTCAACGTTCTTCATAATATCCTTGACAATTAACTCGTACTGTTTAAAAAACACCAAAAGATGTTTCATATAGTTAATGTCATCAGTTTGCTGGCGAGTCCCGACGAATTTGACTTCCATATTATACCCTCGAGTGGTTTTCGCGATCGTATAGTTCTTACGTATAACAAAAGTCAAAATTTGGGATTTGTGTTTTATGTTTGCCAACGTTTCTTCTATGCCAATTTTAATAGTAACCGTACCTTTATAAAGTAATTCTGGCACTGAAAAACAACAGTTTTACTAAATTACAATAATTATATTTATTATAATTCACAGTTTGGAATTCCTGCTCCTCCTACTTTTAAGTGCCTATTGTACAATCTAATGCCAGCTACAATGTTATTGAAATGTTGGAACTCGTCTTTTTTTGTGGTTTTTGAGAGTTTTATAAATTCCATCAGGTAATCTTCTTTCAAAATACTTTTTAGAGCAGCTAAAGCTTCCGCAAAAACCTTCAAAATATTCAGTTGAAACTTGAGAGAAGAATAAAATTTACCTACCCTTGGTTCAGTGGGATTCCCCAAACCAGTAACCAAAGTCATATAATAAGCCATTTTTTTATACAATAATTCGACACCAAATATTGTCTCGAGCTTTCTACATTCTATTATGTCTTTATAAAGTACTTCAATTTTTTTTTTGAAACTATCCCTGTTTGTTTGGACTATCATGGGTGAATATTGTTGATTGCAAACGAAATAAAATTGAATTTTCAAAGTTATTATTTTTGGCGATTCTTGCTTGGTAAGCAACTCTTCCATTACGTATTTCACAAAATCTTCCACGCGACCTCTGCTGCATAGGAAATCTTCTTGTATGTCCCAAGTTGGATCGAGCAAATGCAAATTAGTCTGGAAAAAAGTTAGCTTTTGCTATTAGGCTAAATACAATACCAATGAGTTCAATCAAAAACAAATGGAAAGCTAAGTTATATTTGGACATGGTAGCTAGCGGATATCTCCAAAAAAATAATTTCATATAATTGATATACCTATGAAACTGTTGCAGTAGGTCTGATGATCATCAGACCAACTTCTCACCAGTATACCTTTAGAAAAGCTGTAAAGATCATCATGAGCTGGAAACCGAAGCTGAAACTGAGACAATTTTGAAGAAAATATCGAAGAATATGAAAATGGAAAAGAGTGATTCCTAAATAAAAAATCTACATTTCACAGATGAAAAGGTTGGAGGAAAAGTATTAAATTCGCAAATAGAGAACTTTAATGCTAAGAATCCACAATTTTATTAACTTTATACATTACCTATAGGTACTAGCTCATTATTCTCATCTCAAGACCCTATACATATAACATACAGAAAAGCAGTAGGATTAGTAGAAGAAAAACTATCTAAAAACAGCTTGAACCGCATTAAAGAATTGAAACTTGGAATAAAGAAGTGAAATATCTTAGCATGTAAAGGCTATTGATACCAAGTGCATATTTCATACCCAAAAAGTCTGGATAAAATGTCTGAAGATCAAAAAATAGGCGCGGAATTGTAAGTAGGTACATATTCTAATTAAGCATAACTGTTGCGAGAGAAAGTTGAGTTTTGAAGCAAAATTTTGGAAATGAGGCTGATCTATGGCTTCTTAACAGAAGCATCAAAATGCTGGAATGAGAGATTCGATTTATTGAAAAATGAACTCGTGAAATCCAACAGCGTTGGCTCTTAAGGCCGTTTATCCACTTTCTGGTGAACTGTCAGGTATGCAATCTGGGGAATAAAAACGCAGTCTCTAATCCCATTGGTTGGGTTGTTATCCGCTGACCGATGACGTCTTAACACAGATAGACACCGCAACTCATTCATAAACTGATGTTTGTTGTAGAGGCTAGTAGAGGTGAGCTGCTCGGAGAGGGGTCGTGGTGGGAATGCATCAGAGGTGCAAACAAAGACCCGCCTTCCTCTCTGAACCCATCATTCAGATAGTTGACCTGAAGATGACTCATGGGCGGTATTATAAAACACTGAACCGATGGTTGAGTTTCAACCTTCAGTTGAGTCCATGCAAATCTATAGGATTTAACTGAAGGTTGAAACTCAACTATCGGTTCAGTGTTTTATAATACCGGCCCTAAGCCAGATCTAAAGCAAATAGCTTTGTTCCAACACCGTAATGATTATGAGGCAGGATTCTGCGCAAAACTTATTTGTGAGTAGAATCCAATGACATTTCTTGGGGCGGTTTTTTGACGTGTTGGAACAGACCAAGAACACTTAACATAAACCGAATTTTCGCGACGAATGTAGTTCAATAATAATTTATCCAAGGACGAACCATAGTTCATCTTGTGACGTCATGAATTTGAACGCTGGTTAGAAGCTGCGTCCATGCTTCCGGCGAACTACAAATGACTTCATGAGTTTTTCGCAAAAGTGTTTGTGTTCATGAAATCATAGAAGTACTTCGTCGCGAAAATTCGGTTCTAATAGGACTGCTTAAGGTCAGTTTCTCAATCAATAGCATGTCACCCCCGGGTCGAGCATAACTCAGGGTAAACATAGCAAGCTTACCCTGAAGTTAAAACTAACCCGGAGGTGACTCGCTATTGAGAAACTGGCCCTTAGGAAGCTGAAGTGTCTGCCATTTCAGTCGCAGACCTAAACTCTGGGCGTAAAATGCATTAGCCGAGTTTAAAACTGTATACCTCAAAAAAACGAATTCCTAAATGTTATAATCTTGTTTAAATCACCTTTCTTACAATTAAAATCGACGAAAAAACAAGCACAACCTGAATTGCAAGCATCCCATCGAGGCCTGCGGGTGACGGCACTATTATAACTTGCTATCAGAAAGATAAGCTGGTATGCTGCTAATAGTGGTGACGTCATTCGCAGGTCTTGCCGACTAGACAATTGGCGAACGTACGCCTTATGAGAATGAGCAATCCCTGTTAGTTTACGATTTTTGAGAATAGATCTACTATTAAAAAAAAAAAATGAGAAATTTGAATTCTTACTAAAAATGTAGCGAAGTTCTTATTAATTTGGAGTCTTTTGAAGGAGCACTCTCTCACGATTTCGTTGACCACGTTTCGGACGAAACCGCTTTCTTTATCGAACATATCGAACATTTTCAGTTAAATCTTTGTATAAACTATAAAGAAAAGTATTTGAAAGACAAGTAAAATAGTTACTGTCAAGTTTTACTTGTGGGGTGCTTGTGGGCGCTTTATCGTCAAAAACGAAGTGTTTTCCCACTTGTCTCGTATACAAACTCATGAAAAGTGCATAAATAGCAGCTCCTAGCAGATCTTCCTGATTTTTGTGCAGGTAGAGCAAGTACATACAAATCAACACCCTACTTTATATTTGAGTTTGGAATGGGATTTTAGTGCGGCGTGTGTAACAAATTCCATCCCTTCCCCCTCCCATCAAAATACCAGTTGTGAAGTGGGCAGCATATGTTATTTCTCGTCTTGACGTAGGCTGTTTAAACCATTGGTTTAAACCTTATATGTAAATACTGTTAAAAATACCTATGTATAAAGGTAACTAGTCAACCTGTGCAACGGTAAATCTAGTTAGATAATATTCTATTGTTTAAATTTTATTTAGTCGCCCTTGCTTGTTAAAAAAAAAAAAAAAAAAAAAGTCATAGAGAATTGTCAACACGTCAATAAGTCTGTCAATTAATTGTAATTTTTCCATAAAATCATTATAAAAACTCCTACTGTATTTTAATAAAAGTATTTAAAGGTGCCAGTGTTATCCACTGCATTAAAGAAAACAATAGGTTATGGGCCCAGAGCCACGCAGCAGAAGAAAAAGCTGGAATAAAAAACTGGTAAAATAATAATACCGAAAAATGAGTGAAAGCACTACATTAAAACTCACGGGCACCGAAAATTGGCCAGTATGAAAATTCCAGACAACCATAATATTGAAAGGCAGGGAGCTGTGGTCAGTAGTAGATGGTTCTAGTGAAAAACCACTTACAGCTGGAGAGGAACTCAAAAAATGGCTAAAGGTAGACGCGAAAGCACAAGAACTGATCGTAACAAGGATGGAACAAGGTCCCTTAATGCATTTATTATCGTGCGAAACATCTAAAGACATGTGGAGTAAGTTAAAAACTGTTTTTGACAAAGAATCTGTAGTAAGTGTCCACCTATTACAACAGCGATTTTTTCAGCTAGAATTCAGTAACTGTGAATCAGTAGCCACATTTATTTCACAAATAAAGGAAATAAAAACTAAACTTAAGACAGCAGGGGAATCCTTGTCAGATCAAATGATTATGACAAAAATTTTAATGTCTCTACCAGAGCAGTATAAGCATTTCAGGTCTGCCTGGGAATCTGTTTCAACGTATAGCCAAACGTTGGAGGAATTGACCTCAAGACTACTCCTGGAAGAAGAACGTAGCAAGTCGTCAGAAAATCCAACTGCATTAGCTACCAAAGGTCCTAATAATTCTAAGATACGTTGCCACGTTTGTTCTAAAATGGGCCATCTCGCAAAATATTGCTATTTCCGAAACAAAAATAAAAATTATTACTCTGAGGCAGAGGGTAACTACAGTCATCAATTTCATAAAAAGAAAAAATTTTGCACACATTGCAAGAAAAAGGGCCACGAAATACAAAATTGTTGGTTCAGAAAAGGAAACAATAAAATAAAACATCAGAAAAAAGAACAGGTGAAAGATGAAGATACAAATGCCTTTATGGTATTTACAAATGAAGCCAAAGCAAATGATTGGTATCTTGACACCGGCGCTAGCGAACACATGTGTTGCGATAGAAGATTTTTTGATTCAATAAACGATCTGAAGTATAAGAAACAAGTACAAGTAGGAGATGGAAATAAAATAGAAGTTAAAGGAATAGGAAAAATCACTTTATGGGCTTCAAATGGACAGAAATTAATAAGAACTACGTTAGCAAATGTAATGTATGTACCAGATCTAAAGTTCAATTTATTTTCAGCTGGGTGTGCCTTGGATAAGGGGTATTATTTGACCTCGAGCAATAAAAAATGCGAGTTTATCAATAAAACTGGAAAAGTTTGCGCAGTTGCTACTCGTGAAAACAATCTCTATAAAATGCATTTCACCTTAATAGAGGATAAAAATTACATCGCGAATATTTCTATTCAGGAATTGAAGATAAGTGAAAAGAAGGAAGAAAAGAGCTGCCCAGAGGATAATTTGACAATCCAATTGTAGAATGCATGCAGGTAAAAATTATAGAAAATATTAAAGATTGGCACTGTAAGTTAGCTCATCAAAATCTCAGCTATGTGAGGGATTTCCTCAAGAGAAACAGCATTCAGTTTGTTGATTGTGAAAAAGATTTTGTTTGCGAACAATGCTTAGCAGGAAAGCAGTATAGGTCACCTTATAAACTTAGTGATTCTAGAGCTACTGCACCCTTGGAATTGGTACATGCAGACGTTTGTGGACCAATGGAAACCGTATCTTTAGGAGGTTCTAAGTATTTTTTGCTATTTAAAGATGATTATTCAAATTACAGATACGTTTACTTTATGAAGGCAAAATCTGAAGTGAAACAGAACATTGGAAATTTCATATCACTTGCTGAAAAAGAGACTGGTTGCAAATTAAACGTCCTAAGGACAGATAATGGACTAGAATTTTTAAATAATGAAGTACGAGAAATGTTAGAAACTCGTGGAATAAAACATCAAAGGACTGTAGTTTACACACCTCAGCAGAACGGGAGAGCTGAAAGGGAACGTCGAACTTTGGTGGAAGCAGCCAGAACTCTATTATATTCAGAAGAAAGATTAAGTAAGATTTTTTAGGCTGAAGCTATAAACAATGTAAAATATACTTTAAATCGTACTGGACCAAGTCCACAAAAACAAAAATCTCCCTATGAACTGTGGTACAAAAAGAATATCAATTCAGTACAAGTTTTTAAACCATTTGGAATAAAAGTTTCAGTACATGTACCCAAGGAAATTCGTCTGAAATGGGATCCTAAAAACAAAATGGGAATGTTTATAGGATATGATGAGAATGTGAAAGGATATAGAATATATATGCCTGAAAAACATAAGGTTGAAACACACAGAGATATTATTTTTATACCTAAAAGTATAAAAAACACAGAAAAAGTAAATGATAACTTGAATACACAAGAAATATGTTACAAAACTGATGATTCTGAAAGCGACGAAATACAAAATGACCCAAGAAATGATAATTTATCCGAAAATGTAAGTGAAGCAGAGGAAATTGAGAATTCTGAACATCAAGATGTAGTTGACTTCCCGGAAGATAATGCTGATTCAGATGTCAATGAAGAAATTGTAAATTCAAGATATAATTTAAGAAGAGACCGAAAAAGAAACACCATGTATGATGATTTTGAAATGGATATAGACAAAGTGCTACTGATGAGAAGTGATTTTGATGATAGTGATCCTGTGTGCTATGATGATGCAATGACAAGTAGTGAAGCTAAAAACTGGAGAAAGGCTATGGAAAATGAAATAAAAGCTTTAGAAGATAATGAAACATGGTTTCCAGTTAATAAAGAGGACATAAATAGACCAGTGATAGACTGTAAATGGGTTTTCAAAAGAAAAATGGATGAAAATGGACAAATTTCAACATTCAAGGTTAGATTAGTAGCAAGAGGTTTTATGCAGGAGCTTGGTATGTTCAATAATGATATTTATAGTCCTGTAGCTAAATTGGTACCTATCAGTAAGGATTTTCTTAGCTATGTGTAATCATTTTGCTTTCAAGATATATCAACTTGATGTTTGTAGCGCCTTTTTAAATGGCGATATTGATGACGATGTTTTTATTTCATTGCCGAAAGGTTTTGATGAAAATGAAGGTCAAATAGTCAAGCTAAGAAAATCTTTATATGGTTTGAAATCATCACCAAAAAATTTGTACAAAAAATTTAATGATTTGATATTCTCTCTAAATTTTATAAGGTCAGAAAATGAATATTGTATTTATATAAAAATAACTGAGACATAAAAAACATTTATTTTGCTGTACCTATGTAGATGATCTACTATTAGCAGGGTCTGATGATAATGAAATACAAAAATTGAAACAAGCTTTAAACCAAAATTTTAAAATGAAGGATCTGGGGTCAGTTAGATATTTTTTGGGAATGTTTATATGTCAAAATTTAGTTAAAAACGAAATCACCATAAACCAAACAACATATCTTAAAAATGTTCTAAAGCGTTTTGATTTGCCGAACTGTAAACCAAGTACCTAATTTGCCAATGGACTTAAATTTCAATCACAGTGAATTAATGTGTGATAAGTCTGAAAACAAAGATATAGAAAACAAATGTCGAAAAGCAATAGGTTCACTTATGTATGCTATGCTTTGTTCTAGACCGGATCTGTGCATCGCAATAAGTATTTTGACTAATTTTGAGTCGATATCAATCTACGGCAAGTATTCAAATACAGTGGAGTTAATACGTTAAATAAATGGGCAAAATTCATATAGTAGGTAATCCTTAAAATTCCGTTTTAAACTATTGAAATAAATCAAATATAAATATTTGAATGGGACTATTATTCCTTTAATAAAAATTCAAATTTGAAATTGATTTTTATTCAATTATCTGTGTAAATTTATACTTTTGTCAACTTCTAAAGAGAATATCTCACACTGTCAACAAGAGCGGCTTAGCTTTGTCGGCAAGTGACAAAGCCTAGCGGCATCGCCAACGATTTTCAAGTTTTTTTGCCGGCGTGCGGTGTCTTTGTTATAGTGTACCAGGACTAGGCATAAAAATATAAAAATTATTTTATATTATTATAAGGGGTATTTTTCTAATTTTGAGTAGTCACCATATAGAGATGCGATTTTCAATTGATAATGGTTATACTTTATAGTTGGGGAGCTGGCGTCAAAAACATGCAAGAGTTTTCGCAAGGCGGATATTTTCAAAATAGGTCGTACTTTAGTGCTAGAATGCTAGTGTACAGTCAGCACTCACAGTTCTGGGACAGCTGGCTCTGGGACGCGGGCAAAGTTGTAATTTTAAGAAGCATCTAAACTGTTTTCTCAAAGCTCAAAATTTATAGAAATTTTGCACATTATCTGTTTGAAGGTCACAGATAACGTATGTAAATCGTCAGACGTCTAGTTCGTTGCAAAAAGGGGGTCAGACGTCCTCAAAGTTTTTATTTCATGGCATTTTCTTCGGTGTTCTGTCAAAATATATTTTTGCGGGTATTTGACAAATATATTTGAAGAAAATGCCATAAAATAAAAACTTTGAGGACGTCTGACCCCCTTTTTGCAACGAACTAGACGTCTGACGATTTACATACGTTATCTGTGATCTTCAAACAGATAATGTGCAAAATTTCTATAAATTTTGAACTTTGAGAAAACAGTTTAGATGCTTCTTAAAACTACAACTTTGCCCGCGTCCCAGAGCCAGCTGTCCCGGAACTGTGAGTGCTGACTGTACACTAGCATTCTAGCACTAAAGTACGACCTATTTTGAAAATATCCGCCTTGCGAAAACTCTTGCATGTTTTTGACGCCACCTCCTGGACTATTAAATCAGCTAGAATTTCGGGGCAATGGCGTTCGTCATTTCAGTTTTTATAGAAATATCTGGAGTATGTTTATTCTTTATTAACCAATTTGTTTTCATTTGTCATGATAATAGTATTCAGACGCCTATGGATTCCCACGTGACTTCAAAGAGATAAACTGAGCCGCCTTTTTTATGAAATTTCAATTAATAATGGTTAAACTTTAAATACCAAAAGCTAATCAGCTGATATGTGACGTCACAACTTCCTTTACTTTGGTTAAAACCGCGACGGCGGAAATGCAATGGTTATAACCAAATAATAATCATTCCAGGCTGAAAATCACCATTGATTGGTTTTTTGTCTATTCCTTCTAAAAAAAAATCAGGAATATCGTATCGATAGCTATGAATATCGATAAGCGGATAAGCCCTTCGCTAATAAGATTTACTCCTCAACGGAAATGACAAATATACAGCTGTCATAAATAAAAGATGTCACGAAAACTAAAAACAACAAAATAATAAAAATATAAATAAAAATCATATAATAAAATACTGGCATTTGTATGTATAATAGTTGGTATTTAGGATTTTAAGCTAGTTTTAAGATAAAAAACGCATAAAACAAAATGGCAAGCAATAGTGCTACTACAGACCCTCTGGTTCAAAACACAAAATTTGAAGAATTGTGTCGATTGTGCGGCTCGAAGACTGATATGTTCGCCGTGCATATTTTTGATGAGGAAGGTACTTTCAGCGATCTGGGCAAAAAGATTTATAGCTGCTTACAATTACAGGTAAGGCTACATTCTTTATTTTTCAAAAATTAGATCAGGAGCCTCATAAAGGTTCTCATCCTACTACTAGAATTATGTGCACACTAATCTTCTATTGCTTATATATTTCTGGACCATATTACTTAATAACTTTTAACATATCAGATCCATCAACAAGACGAATTACCAAAACTACTATGCAACAATTGCATAGTAAAACTAGAAATCTTCTGGGATTTCAAAGACCGTTCATTTCGCACCGAGCAACTTCTCATCGAACTGTACAAACAATTAAAAACTGGCGGTCCTCATTGCGTAGTATCCCTGGACGAAAACGGCATGATTCTACCAGTTTCCAATCACCATCAAATAATTCCTGACAATTTACCAACAGATATCGATATATCGCAATTGGGACGTGCCAAGGATCCTGAAGATTATTCAATCATATTGAACCATGCTGATTTGAATGCCCCACATTTGGAAAATTTAGAACTGAGCAATCATGATTTGAACGGTCAAAATCATGGACAAGAAAAATTTGTTGTTCTGCAAACAGCCAATGAAAGATTCACTGGGGATAATTTGAATTTGATGCATCAGCAGTTAATGTTGGCCATGCCAATGTATCATCCAGATGCTGTAAGTAATTCGAGGGGTCAACCACTCTGTAAAAATGTGTACACGTATTGCGAAAATGTCGGTATTTCACAAGTATTTCGCGAAAGTTAATGTATTTCGGTGGTGGTAATTCGAACCTAGTTTTTTGTGGTATTGCCGAGTATTTCGAAATATTTGCAGATAATTCTAAGTATTTCGAGGTAATTCGAAGTATTTCGAGGTAATTCGGAAGTATTTCGCAGTAAGCCAAGTTATTTCGCGCTATTTAAAATTATTAGTATTTTTTTATGCACCGAGAATAATTAATTCTTTATCACCCAAAATTGAAATATTATAGAATGAAAATTATAGTCCATCTTCGAACAGGCTAAATCGAGGGCCAAATATGCTCACATAATTTGGATTAACTGCAGAATAATTGAAACAAATGGAAAGATATACTACCTGTTATGTATCAGTAATCAGTATTAGTAAAGTGTCATTTACATCCACTCAACTTAACATACAGAAAATTAATAATAAAGAAAAGTTGATGATCATGTATACTTATCTGTAGTTGTTTACATCCACTTAAAAATTAAGGAAATTAACGTACCACACGGAAAACTGAACCAACTTCAACTTGAGGAAATCCGTACGTTAATTTCAATAATAATTATGAATGACACACAGATTGCACTAGTCTGTAAATTATCAGTTTCGTACGTTAATTATAATTTTCCGTACGTTAGGTGGATGTAAATGACCCTTTAGTTGTTAAGACTACAAGATCATCGGTCATCCAACGAGGACTGAACAGGGGTTGACAGGGGATTATTTTTGACTTTCCCTGTATTTTTGAGAACATTGAAAATAGCCAATTGGAACATTTTTTTCTGGAGAACTCAAAAATGATACTAAAAAATCATTTAAACCAAAAACCAAAGAGTTACACCATGGATGAGCGGTTTTTTGAATGGAACAGCCTGTTTTTTGTATGATTTTTGGAGAAGTCACACTTCTTATTCCGTTGAAAATATCTGATATTCCGATAGCTGTTTTTATCTTATGTTAATGTTTTATTCTTATTCCTGCAACCTGATTTAATTGTTGTTTGTGTGTCCGAATATAATCCATCATATCAAAAGATACAAAAATCCAAGCAAAAATTCTTCACTGTGATCCACAAGAAGAATCGTTATAAACGAGAATTTTTTCAGTATTGCGGGACTTCGCGCTGTAATTTGAGGGTATTTCGGGTACTTCGACGGTAATTCCATGGGATTTCTCGTACTTCGACGGGAATACCTCGTATTTCGACGTACTTCACGGTACTTCGAAGTATTTAGGAGGTAATTGGGGCCAATTGTACACGTATTTCGGGAAGTGGTTGACCCCTCGAAGTAATTATTATAAAAATTTTAATTTTTATTTATTATTATTGTAGTTGAAGCATAATTTTGCTAAAACCGAGCAAGATGAAACATTAGATTCAATGAGTTATGGTCATCAAAAAAATCCTTTGGTTTTAGAATCAAATTTGAGTGATAACAGTTTAGGTGAATTATTCATTAGTTTACCAAAATTTTTGTTATCACAATAATTAATTTTAGGAGTAGAAGTAGACTCAAATTTTGACAGAATCATCTCTTACTCCAGTGATAGTCAAATGGAAAAAATTCAACAGGAAGATGAGAGTGATAGCAATCCAAATATACAAAACAGTGATAATGTGAGCGATGTTATTCGTAAAGCTGAGTTTTTGCTTGATGGAGATACTATGCAACCAAGAGAAGGTATAAAATTTTAATTGCATTTATTGGAATGAAGAAAATTTGTTTTAGAATTTTCCAATTTAACTTCAACAAGTTTAGAAACTCAAAACCAAACTCAGTTTTTCAAATATCAAAATGATGATATAATTTACAACAGTGAAAACAGTGAAACTATTAAACAAGATAATATTATTTTAAATTACAAAGAAGAAATTTCATTGGAGAGTTTCGAAGAGGGTTTGAAAAATGAGGATAGCAACAGTTTGGATGAGAATAATTGTGATGATACGTCTTTAAAAGAATCAATAGAAGATCATGATTCTGGTAGTTTATCTGAAATTGGAATTTTATCAAACGAAATACCTGGGAACAAGCCTCAAGAAGAATCACAAAAATCATGTAAGGAATTTCTAAAATGATTAGCAAAATCTTTGAATTTTATTGTAGCCCCAAAAGCTGGAGGTAAAGTTTGTACAGTTTGCGGCAAAGTATACAAGTCCAACTACAAACTGACTGAACACATGACTAAACATACAGGCGAAAGACCTCATAAGTGCAAGACTTGCAATAAAGGTTTCCGGTCTAAAATTGGACTGTCCCAACATGAAGCCACACATACAGGTAAAGAATCTTTGCATCAATATTATTATGTATTATGGATATCAGTGGTAGGCTAATGGGTAACCGATAAGTCTACTGAGTCTTTTAGTTTTTCACAGTTTATTTCAGGATTGTAATGTTATTTATTTTAGGTAATTTTGAATTGAGATGTCCAACTTGCGGTAAAGGATTCCAATGTAAAAGCTACCTGATGGTTCACCAAAGAGTAGGTATTTTGTAACAACTACTAAAACACTGTCACTAACCTAACCAAATAATTTTCTTGTTATTTAGGTCCATTCTGATGTGAAACCATTCCCTTGCAAAACTTGCGGTTTAAGTTTTAAAACTAAACAATCCTTACTGGATCATACCAATAGGCATTTGGGTGTCAAGCCATTTTCTTGCAGTATATGCAATAGAGGATTTATTACTAAAAGTGATTGTTACTTATATTGTATTTCCTAATACTTATAAGTCTGTTTTAGGCCTGCGCGAAGCCCACGAAAAAACCCATGCCGGAATAGACAATAGAAAATACTCTTGTAAAGTGTGTCAAAAGAAATTTGTTTCCAAGAGTTACCTTCAAACTCATTTCAGGATACATACTGGCGAAAAATCGTTTATTTGTGAAGTAAATATTTATTTTATTTGTGATTTTTCTTTTAAATTGGTGTTTTAGGTGTGCGGTAAAGGCTTTTTAACTAGCGTCGATTTAAAAATTCATCTCACAATGCACACGGGCGAGAAAACTTATGTATGTGAAATGTGCGGTAAAGCTTTTGCCAGGAGGGACGCTTTGAAGTGTCATAGGAGGATGCACACTGGAGAAAGACCTTACTCGTGAGTAATTTATTTATTTGTATTCGAAATACAGGGATGATTTTTTTTATAGTTGTGATGTATGTGGAAGGACTTTTACTCAATTTACTCCTATGGCAAATCATAAAAGACAACATACAGGTAAGGATTTTAGAATTTTTGTTGTTGCCATAAAAATGTTTTCATGTAAGTATTGGAATCACCCTTCATGACTCTTTATTGGCTAATCAGTAATCACGACTTGAGGGTGGTTTATTTTTGTATAAACGCCATCAAACATAAAATTATTTTAGGTGAAAAACCATTCTCGTGTAAAATTTGCAACAAAAATTTTGTAACCAAATCAAGTCTGGCTTCCCATCAAAAAAAGCACCCGAAAGAAGACACAAATTCAATTATCCAAAAGAAAGGAGATGGAATTGTGAAAGTAGAAGCTTTGGAAGAGTTATTTTTATAACATTGTTAAACAATGCTGTAAAAATGCCTGTGATAGGATAGGAAATGTGACCATTTTGGAAAAATATTCTGTAGCTTTTGTGGCTCATTAATTATTGTGATTTTTTTTAATTGTAATTTCTGTGAAATATGTTTATTTCAGTTTTATAGGGAAAAAAATGCGTTATTGTTTGTTAATTTTTAAAGACTGCTATTTTTTATTTTTATCCAGTGGATTTTAACCTAGATTTAAACTTTATACAAAATATACAATATGGTATTTGAAAAATGTAATTGATTCATATATCCTTTATTTGTGTTCCTTCAAATTCACTTTAAAATCACAAAAATCCTTATTACACGTCTGCACCTTCAATTTTCTCGTCGCTGACAATATTCATCAACCACCTAGCGTTTTCATCACCAATCCACAAAATAGCCATTAACAAGCCTTCCATAATACCTAAAACAACACCCCCAATGACATCCAAAAGATAATGCCTTTCCATTAAGACTCTACTAAGACAAAGTGCCACTGTCCATGCTAGTAAAGGTGGAAACATTATTAGTGGAACCTGCCATAGAAATCCAAAAATTATGGTTACCATTGCTGCACGACTACAATGACCTGAAAATTTTTTATTAATAATTAACCACTTATCATAGTTGAATGATTGTAACCTGATGGAAAACTGAAATGATCAGGGCCAAATTCAGCAAAAGCGTCATTTTTATTGGCCAAAGGTCTGCGACGTCTAAAGTACGCCTTTATCAATGCCACAAATAAAATATCTAAGATTAATGCTGAAATAATTTTGCCAATAAGAAAAAAATTGTCGAATTTCAATAAAATCTCTTACCAAGAATTATATTTACTTGTAGTTCGACTAAATAAGGTAGATTGAATAGCCATGTAAAGGCTATCCAGAATGCCAACCAAGGGATTCCATGACATGTTATCTAGGAAAAAAAATAATAGAACATTAGAGACTAAATTGGCAGAAAAAGTTTGGTTTCTTACCTCCAAAGCTTTATAATGCACCCGTAAAGAATGTAATGGGGCCCAACTGTTACCCCAAATAACGAATTTCTTGGTGACTTGTTCATCGAAGGCTAAGGCTTGTTGTAGCCATAGAGGGGGCCTCCTTTTGGGTGTTTCCTGAAATTTAACAATTCATTATATAAGCTAGATTTTAAGTAATTTGCTTACTCGAGACATAATGCACTTATAAAATAAATACAATACTGATTCTGATTATCGGAAACTTTATTTTTAGAATTGATTAGTCACGATTTTGATTTTAAATCTATTATTTGAATATTTGATTTTGAATATAAGGAAGGTAAATAAATAATAATAATAATGAGGTTAGGTTGTCAAGTAACTTTGATTTTTGATTGAATCTAATTAGAGGAGGGCTTCTCGATATTCATAGATATCGATACGATATTCTTTCAAAACCTCTACTTCTATTTCGTATCGATATTAATGTAAGAAAGTATCGATACTTATATCGATACTTTCCATACGATATTCCTGATTTTTTTTTAACGGAAAAGACAAATTTAACCTGGGAAAATTGGAAAATAAAGAAAAAAATTGGGAAAAAAAATGTACCTACAACGCCGTACACGTGATAGAAGTGAAACTTCTCAAAAACAATCCCCCCTTTTATACACCTTTTAAACTTAGTCGGGATAAAGACGAAGGACAAACAAAATGGAGACGCGCAATGCGCATCTGTAGTGACGCACAAGGGTATCGACGCTTGACAATGAGAGGCAATCCTCTTTGCTTATAATCCTTGATTTGTGTCAATCGTTTGTCGGCTGTTCAAAAAATTACAAAAGGGAATTTTCTGGAATTCCTTGGCATTTTTTGAAATTTTTAGAAAATTTTTAGTGTTTTTTGGAATTATTTGGCATTTTTTGGAATCTTACATACGGAAGAGTAAGAGTGCTCGAAACAGATACAGTGCTCGTGCTTGTACCAATAATACTTATAAATTCCAAAATGGATTTTTTTGAAAATTTTTGTGGCATTTTTTGGAATAATGAGTCGGGATAAAAGACGATCGAAGGAAAACGCGCATCTGTAGTGACGTCACAAGGATAGCGACGCTTGACAATAATAGTTTATAATCCTTGGTTTGTGTCAATCGTTCTTCGGCTGTTATTGTCATTGCCTGTCTTTCTCCGTCCCTCTACGTTATATTTTTCTTCTCTCTCGTGTAACGAAGTTTGTCTAAACGTGACGCGTCTTTCAAATCACTCCCCACCCTCGTCTAAATATCAGACCGCCCACAGTGTGAAATGTTTGGGCTCTAGCTGGAAAAAAATATTTTAGCGGCTTTTTTAATCAAATATGAGTTTTTTTTCTTCATAGATAGGAGATTTTGACAAAACAAGTTTGAGCATGCACCAAAATAATTTTGCCCCCCCCCTTCCCATTTAAGATTTTCTAGGGGGTAGCTTCAGGGGCTGGGGGGTTGAAAGGGGGAGGAGAATTTTGCATAAAAACTCATTCCACTTTAAATTATAGTTGACGTGTTTCAGGGATTTTCTCGAAAATTTTTCAACTCCGAGATAATAAGAGTAGTTAGTTTTAAAATGAACACCCTGTATATTGCCTGCCCCGGGTCCTTATTCTTGAAACAGGGGAGCAGCGTTCCCAGGAGAACGAGTGTTCTGTCTTTCTCAATGATATGCAAATGATAATATAAGTAACAAGGACGGAACACTCGTTCTCCTGGGAACGCTGTTCCTCTGTTTCAAGAATAGGTCGCCATACACACACGTTATTTCGCGCGGTTTATCGTGGCGTGTTGGGATGTAGCGGTTTGCATGCGCGAAAGAACGGCGTGGCAAAAAAAGCGTCATGTGCCATACACTTGACAAGGTTTTCAAATGATTTAGTACGTGATTACGGGCGGTATATCAGTTGGAAAGGAAAAACCGTATGTTTATGGGTAAAAAGTGTCATTTATCGTGTCGTTTGGAAGTGCATGTTGTCATGTACTAATTTTCAACGTGATAGTTTGCTACGCGGCGTTTATGTCTCCGTACTAGCCTCAAAACCGTGACGTGGAATGGCGTGTGGACACGGTGAATTGCACTATCATGCACTTGAGTACTGAGACGTCACATTCCAGATGAAAGTACGTCTGAAATCCCTTCCCATTCTATCATTGCGTGTAGCCCTCCTCACTCACGCACATGATTTTTCACAGGTTTTTGCAGATGACACGAAAAACCGCGCGAAAGAACGTGTGTCTATGCCGGCCTAATAAGGAGCATGTTCGAAATGTCCACAGAATGTTTCTCCGGAAAACTCGATTTCGAACTGTGATTACCGTCTGGCGATTTTTCAGCGTTATGTTCACAACAAAACCTATTGTCTCGATTGCCAGACAAAAAGTAAACGCGGAAAGCTCTTTTCTTTTCTCTTGAAAGTTGACACCCATCCCCACTTTTTCAGCTTTTGAAAAGCATCTGGTATATGTTTTATGGGTGAATTATTTATCAATGTCAGTCTTTTATTTAAAAGCCAGAAAATTTGAGATCATTAAAAAAAATTCTTCATGTATATCAATTTTTTTCTACTACAAATTTTCGAACTGGCGGCTTGATTTGTGACAGTCAATGGCTGTTTTTCTTCGTTTAAATATCATTTTTGATAATATTTTAATAATTTTTACATAATGACGGTGCACGGATATAATTTTTAAAAAATCGCAGCACACAAATGTATAACTAACGAAAATAATCACAAAACATAATGATAATAGTATCACAAAATGGAAATAAGAATCTGTAGTGACGTCACAAGGGTATCATCGGCGCTAGTCAATAATAGGCAATCTTCTTTACGCTTATCTTATAGTCCCTGGTTTGTGTCAATCAATAGCTGTCTTTTTCCGTCTCTTTACGTTATCTTTCTTCTCTCTCGAATAACGAAATTTGCCCGTAACGCGTTTTTCAAATCATTCTTGAAGTTTCACTTCAAAAATTCAATAGTTTGGAATAGAAACAAAATACTTTGGATCTACCAATTTTTCTCAATTCCTCTTGAATTTCTTTTTTCCATTTTGGTTTTGAGATCATTATTTTCTATTTGTCAATTATTCCAGCTCACTTTTTAATTTTTCCCAAGGCTCCTAAAGTTAATAAGTTGTCTGGTAATTGGTATTGGAGATTTCCATAATGTTGAGACACCCCAGATGACGTCATCCAGTTATCCAGGCAACCTACCTCTCTCGAATAACCTTGAATTATTATTCCCGGCTCTTGAATTTGTCGATTCGAAATAAAGAAAATTCAAGAAAGAGCCTGGCATAGAAAAAATATGAAATTAGATTATCGCTTTTAAACAATAGTTCTTTTCACGTGGCTCCGGTTTAACTAACCGGGCTACAAAACGGTTAGAGAAATCACATACCGTTTTCTAACCCGGTTACAAAGTGACGTGATGGATATACCTACCACTCGAATTTGAGCGGTTTGTTAAACCGGAGCCACGTGAAAAGGGTTATTGCGTTATGAATTGATAAAGATGATGGTTTAAAATTTTGCAATATTCTTGTCGATACCTAATATCGCCCCTGTAGAGCAAAAAGGGGCTGTTGAGAATAGTTTATTAATTTGTTCTTTTTGTTTCGTTCGATTAATTTGAAAAGTACTTGCGCTCTATATTGTTGTAAAAATTAACCAGCAAAAAAGAAACGTTGTCAAAATTCATTTTAAATTTGTCATAAATCCAACAAAAATCTAATTTAGAACTGAGAATTTATAGAGGCTAGCGTAAGATATTTGTATTTATTATTATTATAAAATTATGAACTTATTATATACATTTTAGGAATTTGAGTGCTACTACCACAGCTAGAAATAAATTATACATTTTTCAAAGGCTACAACTACAAATATAGTCTCATTTCCAACAGGGGCCATGTGCCAAATACAAAATTGTTGAGAAAGCCAAGAAAACCTCGAAGAAAACTGCAATTTCGAAAATTAGTTATAATCAACGGTTATTTCCAATTATTTGTACTTTTCCTGTCTACATGAGTTATTTGTTCGTGCAGCTTGTCACCTTTTCACACAACGTGTGAGTTGGGGTCAGGGTCGCCAACTCTCCGGTTTTGACCCGGAGTCTCCGGATTTTCGAATGTAATACCACAAGAGGTTTCAGGATTACCGGATAATACTTTTACCTGTCACGAAACGCGTTACGCAGCAACACCACGACTCCGAAGGAGGAGTGGTGTTGCTGGTAACGCGTTGAGTATTAGGTAATCCTGAAACATCGAGTGGTATTCAAAAGGTTATACAACGAACTAAACTTCAATACTTTATTAATTTTTATTGGCAAATGAACAATATTGCCACCAAGCGCGATAATCCCAAAAGGCTTATCACTTATTAAGCCTCTCGTGTCATATGGGAATAACGTACAGTGAGTTGTATAATCAAGGTAATTCTCCAGTCTCCGGAATACATATACATACATATATTTCTCCGGGTAGAATTCGTAGGAGTTAAATAAAAACCAAGATAAGAACATAAAACATGTTTCCAGTAGTAATATAACTAGTGCATAAAATACACTGCACAGCATAATTAGCGCATAGGTTAAATTTACCATTTTCTTTTTTTGGTTCTCATTTTTTTTTGGAATAATTTTTCTGCATGCGGTTTTTGGCATTCGAAAGTTGTTTTCGTCTAGATTACCCGGCAAAAACAATTTTTTAGAAGGAATGTTATTTTCATGTTATACAGGGTGATTCGTGAAGTAATGCAACAATAGACAAATTAGGGGTGTGTGCCTGGCCGGCAATAATTTTTTTTTCGCGATCCAGAATGGACCGTTGATAAACTGCTGTCAATATCTCCAGACGTTTTAAGCAGTTTTCTGGTAAAGGCCCTTTTGACGCAGATATACCACTGAATAAAAAATTGGTCAAATTCTTGTTAAACAATTTTCAAAAGGCTGCTGCATGAAAACGGCTGCACCGGTATCGGTCAGCATATCGGATTTTGGAAGCTCCTTTTCTGTAGATTTTTTTTGACGCAATAGCTTTTCTTGCGGATGTTCCTTATCACATTATACAGGGGTCGAAAAAATCACGTACCTGAAATTGTGCAAATTATGGTAAATGCTCGCTTCAAAGCTATGCCAATTGGGCTGTGTGCTTTCGTTTTATTACATAATTGGTCAATTGAAACTTTGGAGCAATATATCGGTACACATTTCTCAATTTTTGGATTAGTGCCCCCCCGAGTGCCTTTTTGGCAGTCCGAATTAGAAATGCTGTTGCATAGAAACGGACTGATACATCTTGAATATTTTTTCGATTTCGCAAGCTCATTTTAT